GCAAGAAATATTCATGTATATGTATAAATGATATATCAAGGGGAATATACGATCAAATAATAATTCTCGCAAGAATATCTTGTTGGCAAGAATAAAAATGAAGTGAAAGTGTGCATTATTACGGTGTCTAAGTGAACGGTGCGCAATTGAACAGTGTNTAAATGAATGGTGCGCATTCTTTTCCGTGTCCAAATGCAACGTGTCTAATTGAACCGTGCCTAAAATTCTGTGTCTATTTGCACCGTGTCTAATCGCAACGTGTCCAATTGAACGATGTCCAAGTGTACCGCTTCCGCCGCCGCCAGCCAAACAATTGTCCCNGGTACGCAAGTTTATTATCTACNATCAAAATGGCCAGCGAGCAAAATCCCGTCGTAGTGAAAAAACAGCGCGCTATCATTAAAGGNTCTTGTACAAGAATTAATACATACGTAAATGCNATTACTAACCCCACCCCGTTAGTATTGGCTCAACTCGAGGAGCGTAGAAAAATGTTAGACAGCTATTGGTCGGAATATAACCAAGTTCAAATGTGGGTAAAGATGCTCGATGATGCCGAGGCCGAGGATNGCTCTACGTTCGAGGAGGCTTTCTATGCCTTGTCTGCTAAAATTCGAGGGTTATTAAGTTCCTCAACACGTAGTTCTGACGCATCTTCTNGGTTGGTAACACCCCACGAACCGCCGGAATCTTTGACGCACGTTNGTTTGCCGAAGTTAGATCTTCCGTCGTTCTCGGGCAAATACGACGANTGGTTTCCGTTCTTTGATATATTAAATACAGTCATACACTCTAATGCATTTTTCAACAGTGTGCAAAAGTTTCAGTACCTTAGAGCTTCTTTAACCGGCGACGCAAGAAATATAGTAAACTCATTGGAGATATCAAATACGAATTATATACAATGTCGCATGGAGTCTGCTCAAGGAACGTTACGACAATCAACGCGTTATCGTTCAAAATCACATCAAGGCGATCATAAAACTGCCATCCATGATCAAGGAAAACTACGCGAAGCTGAGGCAAATCGCGTACGGAGCAGCAAGACACCTGCACGCACTTCAAGCATTGAAACGCCCGGGTGATCATTGGGACGACTTGCTAGTCTACGTTCTCAGCGCAAAATTCGATACACGTACATTACGAGAGTGGCAGTCGTCGCTCACGGGTACTGAACTACCTACTCTCAAGCATTTGTTTTATGTTCTAACGCATCAAATGCTCAAAGCAACAAACAAATCGGGCGTTTCAAATGCAAAAAATGTTAGTACGTGTTTGCAGTCGAGTTCTAAACGTCAAGCGTCCTGTGTCGCGACAGTCAAACCTAACTGCAGTTACTGTCAGNGTACACATTCCATTTGTTATTGCAANGGCTTCTCAGGACTTCCGGTATCACAGAGAATTTCAGAAGCTCGTAGTAAAAAAATGTGCATCAATTGAGCAATTGCTTGCGATCCTCTTCTCACGTCTCAAACAAATGTACGTCAGGAAGCTGTAAGGTTTGCCAAACNAAACACAACATTTGAAGCCGTTGGAGATGCTTCACTGTTGTTCGCTCTGTGGTCTAAGACATTTGAAGATGCAGCCGCTGCTTCACGCAACTGCTTCAAACCACGGTGTGGACAACAGTGAAGCATCTCCAACGGTTAGTCAGGTAGCCGCTTCTGTCATCAGCGCATCGAGTTTGATTGGAGGTAATCACGTCATGTTGTCTACGGCTGTCGTTTACGTGTATGATAGGCAAGGTTTACTCACATCATGTCGAGCATTACTAGATTGCGGTTTGCAGGCAAACTTTATATCCAAAGGTCTCGCAAACAGCCTTGGCTTGNAGCCTAAGGCCNTGAACGTGTCTATTTCTGGCATAGGCGGNACTGCTTCAACCTCTACGCAAGTAGTGCAAGTTAAGACACAATCTCGATTAAGTTNGTATGCAAACTCTATCAATTGCATTGTTACAGATCNTGTAACCGAAAAACTTCCAGCGTTCACTCTGAAGCGCAGAGCATTAGACCTTTCACGTAATCTCCGGCTAGCCGACCCTCAGTTTCATATCTTGTTTGAAGTAGACTTCCTGATCGGGGCAGAGATATTTTGGGACCTGCTGTGCGTAGGGCAGATCAGATCTTCCAAGAAGCATCCGACGTTGCAGAAAATGCGGCTAGGATGGGTTCTCGCAGGTCGATTGTATGACTCGACTCAATCATCATCTAAAGTACATTCGTTGCATGCCGTCGTAACAAATGTTCAGTTGCACAAGCAGCTGAGTCGCTTCTGGCAGCTAAACCATAATTTGGAACACATAAACAATTACACTCTCAATGAAANNTTNTGCGAACAACATTTTCTAAAGAACATAACTCAAAATCCACNGGGTAGATTCATAGTCAAGCTTCCTATCAAGGAGCAGGTTCTACACAAGCTTGGAGACTCACGTGACACTACGCTAAAGCAGGCATTAAGGAGCCTAGAAAGACGTTTTCAACGTGATCCGAATCTTAAGGATCAATACACACAATTCATTAAGGAGTACTCGTCATTGGGTCATATGCGACTTCTCGATTCACAACCCATTGATGACTCCATTTCCTTCTATTTACCGCACCACTGTGTACAAAACCACAAATTAGTCACGCAAACTGCGCGTTGTGTTCGACGCGTCTTGTAANACTAGTAGCGGCGTGTCTTTAAATGACGCCCTCATGGTCGGTCCGGTCGTGCAGCAGGACTTAATGTCNATACTAATTTGATTTTGCAATTTTCGTTACGTCTTCACGGCTGACATAATAAAAATGTACCGGCAGATTTAAGTAGATCTTTCGCAAACACGTCTACAGCAAATCCTATGGCGCAAAAATCTTAGCNACAAAATCGACACCTACGAGTTGACTACTGTCACCTATGGCACATCTGCTTCTTACCTAGCTACACAATGTTTGCATTTAGCCGAACAGCATTCTTTTCAATTTCCCATNGGCTCAATACGCGTCAAACGGGATTTTTGCATGGCCNATCTGCTCACCGGAGCGGACTCTAGCTGAAGCAANGCTAGCTCGANACGAAATCATAAAATTGTTACAACTAGGATTGTTNGAATTACACAAATAGGCGTCTAATTGCCCCGAGTTGCTCGAGAACCTAGAAAATCGAGGCCAGGAACCGATTGTTATAAAAGATAAGACGGATTCGTGTGTTCAATGAAATCAAGTTACAGACACATTCCAATTTTCTTATGAGCTAGGCTCAGCATATGACGTTGTGTCCAAGCGCACAATTTAGTCCGAAATCACAAGGTTATTCGATCTNTTGGGTCTTTTGGGNCTATTCATTGTTATCGCAAAACTAATACTTCAGGACCTCTGGCAGGTAANTATTCAGTGAGATAAATCCGCTCCCCANNAAGTCTATACTCGCTGGTTCAGACTTAAGTCTCAGTTGACCAGCTTGAACCAGNTACAGATTCCTTGGTGTGTTAAGTTCAGTTCAGATCCACATTTTGTGCAGATACACGGGTTCTGTGATGTCAGTCATGCACGTAAGGTGTTACGTCCGCATATTTTTGACATAGATTTTTCATTTATACTTCTACACATAAACTACCGCATTTCTATACACATATACAATCGACGTCAATAAATCGTTTCGTGGGGAGCTAGGGTTAAGAGGGACGGTATTCCCTAGCAGTAAATACTGTAATTGGTTAATTCATCGAAATCTGCTACAGTTAGTTAGTGCGGCGCCCGTTGGCAGTACTTACTCTTAGGGAATACC